TCCCTCCCTTCCACAATTCATATCTAAAAGTTAAGCAAATATGCCTTTTTCCTTTGGAATATATCCTAAGTCTTAACCCCTTTGCACCCCCTCCAGCAGTACCACCTTAGTGCGAGAAGCCGTAGTTTCCCCCTGGACTGTTACAAATGCTGACTGGCCTTCAGGTTTTCCTGCTCTCATTTGTTTTCCACACAACTGAGAGAGTGAACATTTTGAAATACGAATGAGATTATGTCACTTTCCCCGCTCTCCACTTTTAATGACGGCCCATCTCACACAGAATGAAATCCAAAGCCTGTACCAGGGCCAGCAATGTCCAAGGTGACCAGGCTTCAGCTGCCCCTCCAGCTTCATTTCCACGTCTTCTTGCCCACTCCGTGGAAGCCACGAGCCTCCAGTAACGACCTTGTGTGGACGCCCGCTTATTCTGGGGGGTTCCCCTTTACCCAGGCCGTCCTGGCCTCCACTGACTGAGGCTTCCACCGTGCTCGCTGTGGCACACGTTTGTTTGGTATGGGTTCCGTGGAGGTATTTCTTATATTTCTACGCATTTATTCTTTTTCTTTTGTATCGACTATTGTTATGTGTTTGGAGAAGAGAGGTATATCTTCATGGGACGTCAAAAAGAAAAGCCCTTAAGCCTGTAATTTTTCCTTTGAGCTCACTGTTACCTGTGCTCATATTTTTTGCTACATCCCCCCCCTAGATAATGTATAATTTCAATTTTGATTTCCTCTAAGATTCATGGGTTATCAGGGAGATATTTTCTTGACTATAGAGCAATTAAGATTTTTAATGGCTCTTTTCCCCTATTGATTTCTAATTTTTGTATTATTATTAAAGAATATGTCCTATAACATTTTTCTCATACTTGCAAGATCAAAATAAATAAAATATATTCTCAATATTTAAGGAGCAAGTCCTTTCGTTGTTCATTAAAATTTGTGGGCTATATTATTAATTAAAAAAAATTTATTTGATCTACCAACTTCTGAAATAAATACAGTAAAACTCTTGACCGTGAGTATAAATACACTTTCACGTTCTCCCGGCATTGTTAGGGGGCTTCGCTCTATGCAGTTGTCCGCTATGTTGTATGTTGTGTAACAGTTTATGACTGCTGTATCTTCTTTGTGGGTTGCACCTTTTATTGCCGCATAATAGTCTTCTTTGTCTTGTTTAACACATTTGTCCTTGAATTTGCTTTGTCTGACCTTGTCACTCCGCTTTCTCTTTGCTTGTCTTTGCACCATCTGTTGTTACTTACCTCTTTATCTTTAACATTTTTCCTTTTTCAAATGTGCGTTGTATTTAAATAATGCACAGTCGCATCCGAGAGACGCAGATTTGCAATCGGGGAATGACTCCTGCGCACGGTTTCGTGTTAATAAGCGCGCTCCGGGCCTGGGGCTTCTGCGTTCTGTTGGTTTTCTGTGTCCGTTAGGGATGTGCTTGACTGCAACTAACACAGTATGTGACTAGCGGCTGTTTAATAAAAGAAGCTCCATATTTATATTATATTGAACAATTACAGATCTCTATTCTTGGGAGCTCCTTAGTCTTCTCCAAGGACAAGGAATCCAGAGCTGGCCCTCCCTGGCCTGCCCTGGCTCTCGGCTGCTCGGCCCCAGCCCCGGCAGCTCTGGCCCCGCTCCTGTTCCCTGGAGGACAGCCCAGGGTGAAGGGCTTCTCCCAGGGAGCCCTTGCCTTTTGCTTGGAGAAGGCCCCTTACTGGAGAAGGGCTTCTGCCTACACCTGCTTTGTGAGAAACAGGACATCTGGTCACTCGCAGGCCAGTCATTTGCCAACGAGAATCAGGCCGCGGGCGGGCTTAGAGCGGTCGATGCGTCCTGTGAGGTGGGTGAAAACCTGCCTGTCCTGGACCTGAGGTTGCCCTGTTACTCCCAGGACAGGTCGGGCTTTCTGATGGGGGAGGGAGCTGGCTGGAACGGTTGGGGGCCGGGTAACCGTCTGCTGGAATAGTTACACAGTTTTTGCTGTTTTATCTTTTCCTTCGTTTGCAGGAGTGGTAAGCCTCTGATCATTTCTTTTCTCCCAGCATCAGCCTGGATTCTAGCAGTGGTTGCCTTCCTGTTCTGTTTTTCATAAGCTGGTGTCCCTCTCTTACTACTGCTTCTAACCTCTAAGAATAATGAGCTGCTATTCGTCAGGGGGATTCATGCTGCCTTCTGTGATGGGTAAACACTGACGTTTCAGTGGGTTAATGCGATAGAGGGTCATTTCTGAACGCATCACAGCCTGAGGTGGGCTGGGTAGCTCTTCTCTGGGCGTTGCTTTCAGACGTTGACTCACGGGCCGTGCTGCTTTTGCTTGCGGTTCCACCATCTGCAGCAATCTACTTCCAGCTCGGGGGACAAGACACAGAATGTGGCCCGGGCACATGAGCTGCAAACAGCCCCAGCTGAAAGAGGCACAGTCACTTCCCCCAACTTTCCACAGACAAGACGCCAGGCACATGACCCATGGAACGGCAGGGAAGCCGAGAAAAGTATCATCCGCTGGGCTCGGGAAGAGGAAGTGGGTGCCTGACATAGCAAGTCACTGTCGCAAGTTGTCATTCTGCTCACTCAGTTTGTTCTCTCCCTCCATATAATTGCATTCACCATCTCCATCAGGTCATATCCAGTCACTGCACCTAGCCTGAAGCCTGCATTCGTCTCTCTAAGGTCCCAACGTGGCTGAAAAGACTTGCCACTTAAGCACCCCCCCATTTAAGACAGTGTACTGCGGTGGAGTAGAGTCGGAATATCCACTGTGGGGACAGGAATGTGAGCCCCTCGGTCACTAGTCTGTGGCATTCCTCAAGTCCTATAGGCCGGGCTCTATGACGTTCACCTGCCCCAGCAGTGAGGGGACAGCCTTGGGTGGGTGCTGACTGGCTCTCAAGGAGGCTCCCCCCGTTCATTATTCCCCTCGGTCTCATCTGCAGTGAGTGTCGAGGACCATGCCCTCCTTGGACCAGCAGAGCCTTTGAAACCCGCCTCCTGGTCATCCAGGTTGGGTATGAAAGGGTTGTTTGAGTCCTGAACAATCCAAGGCTTTTGAACTCCAGACTAAAAAACGTAGGGGCTTCAATGTCCCAGGGACAGCATCTACAGTTCGTTTCCAGACATGTTTCCCAAATTGTCTGAGTGTGTTTGCCTCTTGACTCTGTGCCTCTCCCGTTCAATGGAAGAGGCCTGCCTTAGGCTCTTTGTAAACAGAGGTGCGAGAGGCAGCACTCAATGTGCTGAGTTAGGCGGCCCCTCTGTGAAGCGGAGACTAGGGTGGGAGTCAACGTGACACACAAGGGCTCTCCTGAGGAAATGCCTGTGGGGTAGAAAGGGCAGGGAGCTGGAGGGGTGGGAGAGCCCTGGCGCTGCAGGGCGAGCCTGACCTTGAGTGAGGGGCGGAAAGTCGGGTTGGGTGGAGGTGTGCTAGGCAGAAGTGCAGTCCTTCCCTGTCAGGGCCTCAGGGAAGTTGCTCATCAGAGGAGGCTGCTGTCTGCCAGGAATAAGCCTGCGGTGCTCAGTCTAAGGCTGGGAGCATGGCCTTGGGCGGACACAGGAGCACAGGGGCTGGAGCGCTTGCTCCATTATGCTCCCCGTGGTTGTGTGTCTGGGGCACATTCTCACGGCTGCCACAGTGCGTGGTACCCAGCTCACTTAACTCACCTGACAAGTGTTACAGGGCTCTGACATGCAAAACCTTTAAAAATCCCGTCTCTTGCAATTTGGACCCTAGAAGGAAATGGTTTTTCCAATCTTACAAAGTCCCAGATTTCTGTCTTTCTATTTCTTTTCATTTCTACTTGCAAAACACTCAATTCTTGAACTAGATTCTTTCTCTTTTTTTAAAAAATATATCTTTATTGATTTCAGAGAGAGGAAAGGAGAGGAAGAGAGGCAGATAGAAACATCAATGATGAGAGAGTCATGGATCGGCTGCCTCCTGCACGGCCTCCACTGGGGATGGAGCCCTGACCGGGAATCTAACCTCAATCTCCTGGATTGTAGGGCGATGCTCAACAGCTGAGCCATGCCAGCCGGGCTAGTTTCTTTCTCTCAACACCTTGCTAAACACAGCCGCTAGCAGCCAACATACACTACTGATGTTCTATTTTCCAGTCTCTTCCCTTAGAGTGACAAGTTGAGAAGGCATGAGGCTCTGCCTTTTAAATGATAGTGTCCGACAATTTCACCAAATGTCTTGATCCTGCATACTATGGATCTCCAGCCATTCAGCCTGCTAAATGTCACTTGTCACCCAACTGCTAAGGCAATGACACATAGTTTCTGTCTCAGTGGTCCCCACTTGGGGGATAGATATCCATTGCAGTCATGGTAATCAATAGAATCTGTTGCAATAGGAACACTGAAAAATCTCAGTGGCTTAATACAACACAAGTTTAGTTCTTGCTCATGTTACAGGTGGATGTGGCTCAGGAAGACTTGGGGGCCTAGCTGCTTCACCTTGCAGGCCCACCATCTCCAATTCCTTATTTTCAGCTAGTGGACAAAAGTGGGGAGGTGGGTAGAGAGGGGAGACGGGAGAGGAGAGAGGAGAAGGCTCACTGGCTCCTAACGGCCTTGGTCCAGGAGTGACACAAGTCACTTCCCTCAGAGGGAGCTGCACTGTAGTCGCTGACGTTCTCTGTGCTGAAGATGTCAGGGGCCCTCGGCCTCAGCCACCAGCCCCAGACCTGGACACGGGCTTCAGCAGGCTGACTTGGCTGCCGGGTGGCTCCCTAGAGAGAGTGGGAGGGCGAGGTGGCCGTGGACCTGCACTCAGGCCAGTTTCCCTCTGGAACCCTCTTCATTGACGGCAGTGTCCTGTAGGGTAACCGGTTGCTCACCATCAGCCAGCCTAGGTCCTTTCTTGCTAATTAGAACTCAGACCTGTTTCTTCTTCCTTCCTTTTTTCTCCTTATGCCATGAAGCGAGTGACAAGCACATCCAGTGGCTGCTGGGGGAAGATGGCGAGGTCTGGGTCTGGATCATGGGAGAAGCCCCTGGCGACAAGTCCTACGAGGAGATCTCTGAGGAGCTGATCGCAGAGAGGGCCCGGCGGCAGGCACAGAGGGAGGCCGAGGAGCTCTGGTGAGAGGTGCCAGTGGGTGCTGGGTGCGGCCTGACCTTGAAACTGTGGGTGGGTCCCAGACAAGGACAATAGGTTGTGGGGAGGAGGGAGGAGGTNAGCCTGACCTTGAAACTGGGTGGGTCCCAGACAAGGACAATAGGTTGTGGGGAGGAGGGAGGAGGTGCCAGGCAGCTGGCTGGCTGTTTCGAGCTAAGATTAGGTGACCAAACCATCAAAGTCTCTCGTCAGATAGACCTCTTGGGTTCAAATCCTGGCTCCACTAATTAGAAGTGAGCTAATTGGGGCCTCAGTTTTCACATCTGTGGTGTGGGTGTAACAACACTGTTTCTATTTGGGTGTGGTTGGGATTCGTTGAGACCGTGCCTAGGACATGCTTTTGGTTTTTCTCTCACTGAGTTGTTCCTGGGACGGTGGAGCAGTTTGGGTTTGCTTTTGTCATCTGCTTGTTTCTCTTTCATGGACATTTGAGCCCTCAGTGAGATTTGGAGTCAGGCTTCTTTTATAAACAAGTTTTAACATCTTTCACCAAGCTTGGAGGCCATCCCCCCCCCCCAATTTTTAGTGACAGTGTTATAGCTGTAAAATTGTTAATAACAACCCAACACCTGCCACCTAAGAGAACCACAGTGAGCATTTAGGCAATATAGATGCTCCTTGACTTATGATGGGGTTTTGTCCTGATATGCGCATCGTAAATGGAAAATATCATAAGTTGAAAATGCATTTACTACAGCTAATCTACTGAGCATCACAACTTAGCCTCGCCCAACCGACACATGCTCAGAACCCTTACACTAGCCCACAGTTGGGCAAATTAATGTAACACAGTGACTACACTGTAGAGTGTGGGTTGTTGACCCTCATGATGGGAGAGCTGTGGCTCTCTGTCACTGCCCAGCATCACGGGAGAGCATCTTACAGCATATCAACAGCCGGGGAGAGAGTAAAATTCAAAATTCAAGGTACAGTTTCTACTGAGTGTGTATTGCTTTGACACCATTGTAAAGCCAAAAAATCGTAAGTCAAACCACTGTAAGTCGGGGACCGTCTGTACATGCTCTGTAAACTGCTTTATTCACACCGCGATAAGCTGATTAATGTAGATTCACATTATTTAAGAGCACTATAGTGTCCTCAGTACTTGGGAAACCCAACTCGCTGGTCCTGTCGGTGGGCATGGAGGTTGTTCGCCATCCTTTATGCTCTAAAAATCCTGATGAACACCTGCTACCTTGGCCTTTGTCAACCTGAATTAGAGATGAGATTTTGGAGAGTTTTATTTCTGGCTTCCCCCTCAACTCTGCCGACATACCCCCGACGCAGGAGGGTGCCCCTTTCTGCCCGCCTTTGCCAACGCTGAGCTTTGTTGGCCTCAGACGTTGCCGTTCTGACAATAAGAAATACCGCCCGTGGTTTTATTTGAACTTCTGTTGCTGTGCAGCCCTCAGTTTCCCTCACAGCTTACACCTGCTGGTGCTCTTTTGGAAGGAGACAGAAGGAGGCAGAGATCACCAAGAAGTTTCGGGATGCCCTGGCCAACGAGAAAGCCCGGATCATGGCGGAGAAGTGGAAGGTGGAGATGGAGGACCGCAAGGCCGCCAAAGTCCTGGAGGAGCGCATTCACGAGGAGTTCAGGGTGAGCCCTGCGCGGCCCCTGGGCCGACCCTGGTGGGGGCCAGGCCTTGGCCATCGGTGCTTACTGAGTGCCTTGTGAGAACAGAAATCTGGCATGTCCATGCGGAAAGGAACTTGACATATCATTTGGGCCAAGCCACTTCCCACTGCACAGTTGAGAAAACTGAGGGTCAGACAGGGAAAAGACTTGCCCAGGCCATGTGTAGTTAGGCACAGGGCCAGGATCTGAACTCAGGCCTTCTGCCTCCCAAACCAACAGTCCTGAAATGAGGCTTGGAAAGAGCAAAGTTTGTGGTTGTGTCAACCTGGGATGCAGTTCTCACTCTTCTTCTTACTGCTGTGTGACCTTGGGAAGCTTGCTGAACTTCTCTGAGTCTTCACTCTCTTGTTTGTAATATTAGGGTAATAACAACACCAAACTTGAGGTTTTTGTAGTGTTCAAGGCACTGAAAAATGCACATTTCTGGCCCTGGTTAGGGAGCTGTTGGTCACTGTGCCTGCCTGCTCATTCTGGGAGAGCCTGGGACTGGTAAAGGGACTTTATAGTCCTCTGTAAGAAGCTTAGATAGCCTGAAAACATTTTTTTCTGCTCCTTATTTATTTATTTATTTATTTATTTATTTATTTATTTATTTGCTACAGGAATAATAATACATCTTTTTAGAAAACTCAAAAAATGCATATGAGCAAAAAGAAGAAAATAATAATCATCCTGAATCCCAACAGTTACATTATTTTGTGAAGTGTAGGTTAATGGCATTTGCCCATTAAAAAAGTTTTAAAACCCCCTTTTCCTCATAATGATTACATAGTGAGGGCATTGGCCCCTTCAGGTCATTTATGTTGCAAATATTTTCCTTAGTGTTGTGTTTTCTTAATTTTGATTATAGTGCTCTTAGGCGTACAGAAGATTAAGATTTCTACTGGCCAGCTATAGCAGTCTTTTTCTTTATTATTTGTTTTATGCTTAGAAAGATCTGCGCCACCCTAAGCTTCTAAATACTAATATACATTGTTTTCTATAGCTTTCATGATTTTGTGGCTTTGCACTTAATTTCCCTTCATTTTGGAGTCTAGGGCTCCAACTTCATTTTCTTCCAAGTGGTTAGCCTTTGTCCCAGCCTCATGTACTATGCAGTCCACCCTCTCTCCTCGCATTGGACTTGCTGCCTTGATTCTTACTGCCACTGGATCTCTTTGCAGATTTTCTTCTTTGATTATTTCTGAGCCAGATTTACTTATTTAATTATTGTAGTTTTAAAATAAACCTTAACATCCGTGTTGGTGGGAACCTATCATTCCTCTTCATTTCCAAAATGACCTTGGCTAATCTTACGCATTTCTTCTACTAGAGATACACTTGAATTATTTTGTCACATTCTTTGCCCACAACATGAAAAAACTCACACAATGATTTTCACTGGAATTGCGCCAGCCTTATAGCTGTATTTGTGGAGCATGGACCTTTTCACAATATTAACCCCCTGAACCTTCTTGCTCAGGGGCGTGGTATGTTCTTCCAGTCATTCAAAGCTTCTTTTTGTCTTTGATAAAGTTTTTTTGCTTATTTTTTTATTAACATCTGCATATGCATTGGCCACCCAACCCCAGACATTCACAGTGTACTTCTATTTTTTGGACTTTGGCAAAATTTATTGTATTATTTAAGGACTCCACAATTGATTTTTAGTTAAACCTTAGGTTTACTATTTTGCTGTTATTGTGAATGAGACTGTTCTCATTACCTTAAGGCCGGTTGTAATTGCTGGTTATATATGTATATTGCTATTGAGCTCCTTATTTAATTTTCCCTTGAGCTGTATTTTTTAGAAGATTCTCTTGAGTTATTAAGTGAAGTAATACTCTCAAAACACTTTATTAAAAACATTTTCAAACTTGCAGAAAGGTTGAAAGAAAAAGAAAATGAACACTCATATATTCTCCACTTAAATTCACCCATGGTTAATATTTTGCCCCATCTGCGCTGTGTCCTTCCCTCTCTCTCTGCATACCCGCATATACGTATATGGGTGACCGGTGAGCAACATAGCTTTGAATTGCATAGCTCCACTTATATGCACCTTTTCCCCCAATAAATACCGTAAGTGTATTTTCTCTTCCTTAGGATTTTTCTTAATAACATTTGCTTTCCTGTAGCTTACTTTATTATAAGAATACAGAAGGTAATATATACAACATAAAAATATATGTTAATTGACTGTTTATGTTAAGGCTTCCAGTCAAGGGTAGACTATTGAAATAGCTAAGTTTTGGGGGGTCAAAAGTTATAGGGGATTTTTCAACTGTGCAAGCATTGACAACCCAGCCCTCACTTTGTTCAAGAGTCAACTGTATATGTGCATGCATATATATGCATAAACACACACACACATATGCATATACTGTATATTCCAAGTGATGGGCCTCAGCGGACACCGTGTGGAGCAGAAGGCCCCCAGGCAAGCCCTGCTCCTGTTGCCTTACAGCATCATGAGCGAGTAGCACGGGGGCTGTTCTAAGCGCTCAGTTTTCTGGTGGCCTGTTGATCGGCAGCGCATCCCAGAGGCCGCTTTGGGACAGGGGTCTGTGCGTCAGCCTAGAGATGGGCTTCGGTCATTTTTATTGTGTCTTTCAGCTCCAAGATCTAACAGAATGTGAGTCTAGCATTCGCAGCGCACCAACAACATTCATTTTATTTCGTTTTCTTCTTTTCTGGGAACCTAAGCGCAGGTTGCTTGGGTGGTGGTGGTAGCAAACGGCTTCCAGGTGCCCCAGGGGGAGAGGGACAACTCTGTGAGCAACCCTGGGGACTACAGTGGAGGGCAAAGGAACGCTTCCAGGAGCCTGGACACAGCGAAGACAGGAGATGGAAGGACATACGTGGAATGAGGAATGTTCTGCTGGGGGGACAGAAAAGCACATGAGGGCTGCAGCCAGACGTAAACCAAAGATCAGCTGTGGAGCCCGTGGACGCTCCATTAAGGGGTGGACTGTTCTCTGTGGACTGAGCAGAGCTGTGAGGACCTCGATACAAAAAGAGGACACGGTGAGATCAAGTTTTCTGAGGCCAGCTGGTGGCGATGGAGTGAGAGTGATACAAGTGATGAAAGTCTGGGGGAAGGACAGGCCAGTTAGGAGGTTTTTGCACTGGTCCAGGTGGGAAATGATGCATCTGTGACTATGGGGAGAGGTGGAAAGGGGTGGATGTAGAGCTGCGAGGGTGGGGAAATCAACGGGGCTGGCATCGTTTAGATGCTGGGATGAGGGAAAGTGAAGAGCAAAAGCATCTGAGCCCCAGGCTGCCGGATGGATACCGGGTGCCGTTCTCCGGGGGGCTGGAAGGAGAAGCAGACTCGGCGGAAAGAGAAGGTGTTTGAGCAGCTGTGCTGAGGGTTTCACCGCCCATAGGAGGGAGACGCTGGGGGACGGAGGAGAAGAGAGAAGCTGGANATACCGGGTGCCATTCTCCGCCACGGGGGGCTGGAAGGAGAAGCAGACTCGGCGGAAAGAGAAGGTGTTTGAGCGGCTGTGCTGAGGGTTTCACCGCCCATAGGAGGGAGATGCTGGGGGACGGAGGAGAAGAGAGAAGCTGGATGAGGAGCTTCTGGGAGAGGGAGGCTGGCTGGGCAGCCGGTGCTGAGGCGGTCGGCAGGCTCTGCAAATTCTCCTGGCCACAGGGCAGATAACAGTGGAAATCCCTTTTAGAAAGCAGGGGGGGAAAGTCCCAGAATCTTGTACATGGTTAAAGGGGGACCTTCAAGATGGAAGGTACAAACAGCTGGAAACCTGTTTTGAAAAACCGTTCTGTTGTGGCTGGNGAGCTTCTGGGAGAGGGAGGCTGGCTGGGCAGCCGGTGCTGAGGCGGTCGGCAGGCTCTGCAAATTCTCCTGGCCACAGGGCAGATAACAGTGGAAATTCCTTTTAGAAAGCAGGGGGAAAAAGTCCCAGAATCTTGTACATGGTTAAAGAGGGACCTTCAAGATGGAAGGTACAAACAGCTGGAAACCTGTTTTGAAAAACCGTTCTGTTGTGGCTGGTGCCATTTGAATGTAACTTGTGTTCATAAAAAAGCATTCATTTAGAAGAAGAGGGGTCACAAGGCCAGATACAATTTGCGTTTCATTTTCTTGCTTTCTTAACTCACGAGACTGCTTTTTGGATGCTTCTTCCTGTGCTTGAGGCCACAAAACAGGGACGCAAGGACCCTGCTTCTCCCTCTGCCGCAGGTCCTCTGATGTCCTTCCCCACCTCCAGGCCGCTCCCTTTCTTTGTCTCCCGCCTCCCCGATAAGCAGCAGACCTGCTGAGACAGTTAAGTTGTCCTTACATTTTTCTCCATGTTCTGTTCAAAGCTATTCTCTTTTTTTTTTTTTGCCCCATTAAGGTTGGGGTCCATTTGGCCACTTAATGGCACCCTCTAGTCTACAGCTGCAGAACCTATCCCTGCCTCATTCCCAGCAATATCGCAAGTGGTCGGAAGACTTTCCGCCTTTTGATTTTCTCTTGAAAATTGTAGACTTTATCTGAGTTTCTCTCCGACAAGGCTGGCATCACCCAGACGACGTGATGGGGTGTACCCTTTCCCCACGGCAGATCATCACAAACCCTCTCTTACCCTCGCCTGTTCATTGATTCATCTGCTCTCCGGCGAGCGTGTAGGGAGCACCTACTGCCTGCTAGGCCCTGTGCCGGGAGCTGGCGCTGGGCGATGAATGGACAGGCCTGGCCCTGCCCCTGAGGAGTGCACAGCCCCACGAAACATAGTGGCATTACTGGGGCCAGGCTGACACCCAGACCCACTGTGCCTTCCAGAAGAAGCTTCTGTCTCGGCGGTATTTTCCATTGGGCGAGGCGGACGGGCTCCGTGGGCTCCTGCGGTGTGCTGTTACTGATGGGTTATCGGGAGAAGGGGGATTGAATAAGCTGGACAGTTCAGAGGGCCTTTCTTTGCCAGAAAAAGGCAATCGATTCCTAAGGCAGAGGGGGGAGTGTCTGCATATCT